GGCGCGTCCACCTCCGCCGTGTGCGCGCGCATGTGCATGGACGACTTTGATTGTGCGCGTGTCCAAGTTGTGCAGTGAGAGTGTACTAAGGCGCGTGCGTGTTGCGTTCAGGGCTCCTGGACGGCGGCGGCGGCGGCGGCGTTTCCGTCAGCGACGCCTTCCACAAAGCCTTCCTGGAGGTGCGTTCCGCGTCCGATCGGCGGCTTTTCGCGTCCTCTGACGCGTGCCCGCGCGCAGGTGAACGAGCTGGGCAGCGAGGCGTCGGCGTCCTCCGCCGCGGTGGCGTCGGGAAGATCCATCAAGTTGGACGCCCAGGTGCTGCGGGCCGATCGGCCCTTCCTGCTGCTGATCCGCGAGAAGACCATCGACGCCTTCCTCTTCGTGGGCCGCGTGGCGCGCCCCTGCCGACCGCGCGCCGCCGGCCCACGTCCTTGAAGCGACGCGCCTTCGCCGTCGCCGCGAGAAGAATCGATCCGACGACAAAGGAGCCTTTCAAGTGGACAGCGCGTCCTCGTTTCAGTGTTGCGCTCAATAAAAGTGACGCGGCAAACGCACTCCAAAGACTTCAAGCCGGCTGAGCCGTACTCGGTCGGCGATTCTTTAAGCGCGCGCGGGGGCGAGGCGGCAACGATTGTATCCGAGTGGGCTCTGGAGAGGAAAGAAACGGACAAAGGCTCCCAAGGTTGAAGAACGAGTCAGGTCGCGAGACTCTCAAGGCTGAGGAAGGTGGCAAGTACGAAGCTCTGCAGAGGAGTGAAGGGGGGAAGACGACTTGGCGGCTATGGAGATTCAAAATATGGTCCAAAAACACACGCGCACAATTTCCTTTTTATTTGTTGCGAGTTCCACGAGGAGGACGCGTACGTGGCCCCCTTCCACGTGGACGCGCGGCGCCACTGTTCCGTGCAGATGATGTTCCAGGAAAACACCTTCCGTTACGCCCGCCTGCCGGCGTACGGCCTCCGGCTGTTGGAGATGGATTACCGCGGCCGGGACTTCAGCCTGACGGTGCTGCTGCCGGACAGGGGCCGCTCCCTGGCGCAGGTGAGGCGTGCGGCCGCCGACGACGACGCCTTTGAGCCCCGCCTCCTGCTGTGTGTGTGTTGAGGTGGGAGGACCAAGGCGCGCGTGCGCATTGCTGAGAAACTCCGGACCGCGTAGCGCCATCGCCACGGCGCAACGTTGGGGGTGTCCGTGCGGCGAGAGGCGGGATCGCGTGAGGTAAGATGTCGGGTTGAGGTGTTGTGGTTTTGCGCAAGTGAGCTGCGTGTGCGTATGTATGCGGCGCAGGTGGAGGCGGAGCTCGATCTTGCCACGCTCAGCGTGTGGCTGGAGCAGATGGTGGAGACGCGCGTGTCGGTGCACCTTCCGCGATTTCGGCTGGAGGACAGCGTCCGCCTCAAGGAGGCGCTCACCGCGCTCGGACTGCGCGACATCTTCAGCCCGCAGAACGCCAGCCTGCCAGGTGGGGGCGCCGCCGCCGCCGCGTCCGCGCGCGTCTACTTGTGTCGTGTGCGCGCGCATGTGCATGGACGACTTTGATTGTGCGCGTGTCCAAGTTGTGCAGTGAGAGTGTACTAAGGCGCGTGCGTGTTGCGTTCAGGGCTCCTGGACGGCGGCGGCGGGGG